TCCTAGTATTATAAACAGTATGGTTACTGAAGGTTTTTTTTCTTTTTTTCCCTATTTTGTCCTTAGAAAGCAGATGGTTTGGGTTATGTAGCCAATTTAATATGTATTCAAATCATTTGTAAAAGTTCCTCTCAAAGTAGTTAAGCCACCAATTCTGTTTTTAAATTTTTCTTTTCATTTTAAGGGATTTCTCATATTTTGTTTTGTTTTAAAATTATGTGAAATTCAGTTTATACTTTAATCTTAGAGACAAGGTATGGTAAGAGAAACTGAGCCTCATAGATAGTTGCAAAAGCTTATATACCTAGATAGAAAATAATACACTACACCTATTATTTGAACCTTGCTGTTTTGACTTAACAAATCCTGGAGATTACTCCATAGCATATATTCCTCATTCCTTTTTTGTAGAAGTATAATATTCCATTATATAATTGAACCTTTTTTGTTTAACTTGCTGGTACTGGGCATTGGACCTAGGGGTGCTCTCCCAGCAGGCCACATTCCCAGCTAGCTCTATTTCTTTATTTTTTTCTCTTGGTACCAGGGATCGAACTCAGGTCTTTGCGCTTGCTCAGCAGGCCGCAAAACCACTGAACTAAATCCTCGGCCCTCAATTTCTTATTTTAAGGCAAGTTCTTGCTAAATTGCCCTTGAGAGCAGCTGGGATTACTGATAAATGCCACCTCACCTGGCTGTACCTTGTTACCTTAAGTGATTGCTTATTGTGAACATTCCATTGTTTCTATAGTCTTATTACAAATAGTGCAGTTATATAATACAGTTGTGTGTATATGCCTCTCTTGGAAGATTTTTGTTCTTTATGTTTGGAATGGATTCCTGGTTAATTCCTGGGTAAAAGTTTAAAATATAACCAGTTTTTGTTGCTTGTTGCCACATTTCCTTCTACAAGGGGGCAAGTGCCACTTTGTAGCCCTTTGAGCAATGTATGAAGATAAAATATTTCTTCATAGGTTATGGGAACATGGGTTAAGTAGATCTGTGTTTTAGACTCTTCACTTTGGCAAAAGTGTAGTAAGGATTGAAAGGCATGATCCTAAAAGCAGAGACAATTTGGGCCTTGGCAGTAGTCTGAGAAATGAAGATCTTAACTAAAGGTGTATAGTTACATTAAAGAAGTATTAACAGCATATTGTAAAGAAGCATTAGTGACTGAGTAGAGGCATTATCAGAGGAATTGAGGGTAATTGCTGTTTCTGAGATCATAAAGGGTTATCTTCCTGTTAGTACGTAGCATCAGTGTATTATGAAGTAGGAGAATTCCTTTGGGATGTGTTGAATTTGAGTGCTTCTGAGACATCTGGGTTGGATACAAGAACCTAAAAAGTTTCAGTGTGAGCATTAGAGTCATTGTGTACATTGATCTTAACATTGATCTTACATATTTCAGCACTTGACATGTTCTTGATTTTGTTTAAAAATAGTTTTGTGGTATCTTCTGGTTTTCCTTCTTCAATTTAGCAATTGACCCATTATGTCTTTGGCTAAAATTTTTTTTTTTTTTTTTTGGTACCGGGGATCAAACTCAGGACCATGCCCTTGGGAGCCTGGCACCAGAACCACTGAGCTAAATCCCCGGCCCTGGGTAGAATTTTCATGACACATCTTTTACAGACTTCTTCTATACATGTGTGTGCACATGCACCAAGAGTATATATGCATTTCATTTACTACATAATTCTATTTTAAAATGGCACTGATTTCTAGTACAGATTGAATTCCCTTGCTTTCACATATGGAATGACTTATTTTGCTTTATCTCCATATAAACATGAATTTACATATACATAATTTGAAAACAGGTTCTGTATCTTGTTCAAAGAATTTCTAATCTGAGTGTCTAATTTTGGTAAACTTGGCAAATTGAGAATTATTTACCTATTGAAACATGGCTTTTATTTTATTATTTTAAAAATATACAGAGTGATAATATCATGATGTTAAACATAACTTTCACATTATAGCTGAAAAAATCTCATCTAAAATAGAAGTTTTCTGTCTTACATGGCCTTAAGAATATCTAGACAGAAATTGAATTCACAACTTTAGCCTTAAGCCTTAAAAGGTCTAGTTTAATGTCATTTAATATGTTGAAAATTATTATTTTTAACAAGACTATAAGAAACAACATGATTGTATAAATGCCAGATGTTGGGCTAGAGACTTCTGCATTTAGGTATGACTACTTAAAAGTGGGACTAAAATAGAGGGAGAGGAATGAAACATGGACATGACTTTGCTTTTCAGGTTCCTACTTTAGGGTCATCTCCATGTAACAATGACAAAATATGAACAGCTGATAATTACTTTGTTTTGTCCTACTTTAAGCATTTTAAAGATCTCATTTTAGTCCTCAGGAACACCAAGAGAAGTACAGTTATCAGCGACATTTTACATGTGAGGAATAGTCATAGAGGTTTAGTAACACAGCATAAACATAAACTGGGAATTCTGAAGCTAGGCAGCCTGATAGTAGAACATATTTTGAGTGAAGATACCAGGATGATAGAGATTCAAAACTTTGTCATATGAGGGCCAAGGATTTAGCTCAAGTGGTTCCGCCTCCTGCCTCGAAAGTGCAAGGTCCCAAGTTCAATCCCTGGTACCAAAAAACCCCCACAAATCTTTGTCATATGAGTTGAAAGAAATTCACCAAAAACAGTATTTTAATTAGAAGAGACACAGATAAAAGGTGACAGGGAGATTTAAACTGACATACTAGGTCTGTTTTGGAGAGTGTATAGATACCTTCATGGCACTACTGCGTAGAAGATTTTCGAAAAACTTATCTTAGATTCAGTACCAAGTATCTTCTCTTTGCTAAGTCAGAACCATTGAAGACAGCATGGCTTTTCTTAGGGTTAAAAATTCCCTGTCCTGTATTTTATGAGCAGAGCCTGATTGGAAGGCTTGTTGAAGTGAGTCTCGGCCCTGAGAGAATAAAAGAACCAAATAGTCTCAGAGGCCCCTGCCCATCTGAGGTACCTCCCAATGATTGAAACATACAGACTTTAATAAATTGGGTGATTAGCTAAAGATCTCATACAGAACTAATATCCATTTATTTCAAAGGAGTCACTGTACTGTGAGAGTCATAGGCTTGCGTAGTCCTGTTTGATTTGGAGGAACCAAGACTAGCTGCAGAAGCAGATTCCAACTTAAGACCCTCTTTCATTTTGAACAGGTCCTTCTTGGTTGAGTATTAAAGTTTCCATCCCTTAGTCTCTAGCTTGTTAATGTTGTCACACTAGGGTGTAATATTTAGTTATTTTCATATTTTTTCTTGTAACATTGGTTCTCAAATTTCTAATTAGACTCACTGAGAGGATTTGTAAAAGTAGACCACAGGGCCTCATTTCCAGAGTTAGTGACACAAAGTCTGGCAGGACCCAAAAATGTTCGTTCTAATATATCTCCAGCAGTGCTGATACTGCTGCTTTGAGGAGCACTTGGAGAACCACGGGTGTAGCAGTTTGGCCTACCTCAGTAGATGGTACTCATTTACTTTGTGACACATAAAAGGCAGCAGCAGGTGTTAATTTTATAGAAGCCCGATGTGGCTTGTTATTTGCTGTCTTTGGCCTGTTGGTACCAAGAAGTTAGACCTAAAATTGAAGAATGTTCTACAACTTTAGAGAGAAGTAAAGCCAAATTCTGCTAGAATTCTTTCAATTGCATATGAAATTCTGGGTTTTTATTTTACTTTATTTTTAAACATTACTAGGGACCTGGCTGTGTTTAAGAATTTGAATCTTAAGTCTGTTGTGGTGGTGCATGCTTGTAATCTCAGCACCCTGGGAGGCTAAGGCTGGAGAATTCCAAGTGTGAGCCCAGCCTGTGCGATTTAGAGACCCTGTTCCAAAATAAAAAGGACTATGTGAAGTCCCTGCGCCAGTCCTCAGTACTGAATAAGGGGTGGGGTGAGGCGTGGTGTTGCACGCCTGTAATCCCAGCACCCGGGAGGCTGAGGCAGGAGGATGGCCATGAGTTTGAGGCCAGCCTGTACTACATGGTGAGTTTAAGGTCAGCCTGAACTGCATAGTGAGAACCTGTCTGAACCCCCCCCCCCAAAAAAAAAAACCCCAAACTTTTATTTTTTTTCTTTCTGGGAAAATGGAAGTTATTGGAGCATGCTAGATTTGTGTTCTTACTATGCATAAAGCAGATGACACATAACAGCTACAGGAACTGGTTTCTTGATCAGGGAGAGGTCAATATGTAGCACTGTTGAAAGAATTCTTAAATATTAGAAAGATGAGGGAAGAATTTGTGTTTTTACTGTTCTCTTACCCTTCAGCTAACAGTGTCTTCCTAAGACTTTAATAAGAATTATTTTACTTTGACAATTTAAATTCTTATTGTTTACCATTTAAATGTCATTAAGATTATATAGTCTTAGCTAGGCAAGGTGGCACATGCCTATAATCCTAGCACTCTGGGAGGCTTAGGCAAGAGGATTGCAAATTTGAGCTCATCTTGGGCCACCTAGCAAGACCCTCTCAAAATAAAGGGCTAAGGGTGTAGCTCAATGTGAAAGCCCCAGATTCAATCCCCAATACTCCCCCTGCCATAAAAATGGACAGCCTCATTCAGAACATCCAGATTATAACAGTAATACTTGACTAAATATATTACATATAGTCTATTCTAGAGAAATAGTATATTTCTCAAAGGTAGATATCATGATTCTTGGACACTTGTCTGACATTGTGTAAACCATGAAGAGACCTTAATCTAAAGGCATGGTGGAAGATGGGGAAGAGGGTTCATGCTCACATAGAAACCAGCCCCTTGTCCCCATGGGACCTGTGAGAGGCCAACATGAAATACACCCACTGTTTAAGGATTATTGCACCTTGTTTTACCTTTTCTCTCAGATGATCAACTCTGCAAGTTAGATTTTTCTGTATGTCACATATAATTTTAGTCATCATTGATGATGACTGTAAACTGTGTTCTGTGGTTCTTTCTCTTCTCAGATATCCGGAAAGTGGTACTCTAGAAATGAATGTCAAGGATCTTCGACCACGCGCTAGAACCATTTTGAAATGGAATGAACTAAATGTTGGTGATGTGGTAATGGTTAATTACAATGTAGAAAATCCAGCAAAAAGAGGATTTTGGTATGATGCAGAAATTACCACATTGAAGGCAATTTCAAGGACTAAAAAAGAACTTCGTGTGAAAATTTTCTTAGGGTAAGAGTCTTCTCACTTAATATTTAGTTATTGAATTAATGGAATGCACTTTTTAGGTATTAAAGCACATTTTTCTAGTAAAAAAGATGGATGGCCATGCACAATGGCATGTGCCTGTAGTCCGAGCACTAGGAGGCTGAGGCAGAATGATTGTGAGTTCGAAGCCAGCCTGGTTTGCACAGTGATTTTGAGGCCAGCCTGGTTTGCACAGTGATTTTTGAGGCCAGGCTGGTTTGCACAGTGATTTCGAGGCCAGCCTAGTTTACACAGTGAGTTCAAGGCCAGCCTGAACAACATAGCAAGACTGGCGCCAAAAAAAAGACTTCATGAAAAATGGAACTTTCCATAGTATAAAAAATGTTTTTGTAAATTCACGAGAACTTTTGTTAAGAGTGGCTTAAATCTTCATCTCTACTTCAGATTTGGAGATCGACTTCGAAGGAATCTTAGAAATCCAGGAGCATCTTATTAGGGAAATCCTTACTTCATAGAATTCTTTTTTTTTTTTTTTTTTTTGGTACCGGAGATCAAACTTGGGTCCTTGCGCTTTTGCAGGAGGCAGCAAAACCATTGAGCTAAATCCCTGGCCCTACTTCATATAATTCTTACACATGAAACAATATACACAAGCATTTTTATAGCTGTGTTGCTTTAATAGCAATAGGTAACTACCTAACAACTGTCTACCAGATTTCTGATACTAGCTGAATTTTTCTGTAGTTTTTAATCAACATACAGAATTTAACAAACTTAATGAAGAGAACTAATGCAAAAACTCTCCTGAACTACCAAGTTGTTCAGATATTTCCATCATTGGTTCTTTTAAGAAATATTCTTCAGGGCCAGGGATTTAGCTCATTGGTTAGGCCATCTGCCTTGGAAGCTCAAAGTCCCTAGTTTGATTCCCAGTACCAAAAGAAATATTCTTCAGGCCAAACATGGTGGCACACACCTTTAGTCCCTACATTGAGGGAGGCTGAGGCAGGAAGGTTGCAAATTTGAGTCCTGCCTGAACAACTTTAGCAAGACCATATCTCCAGTAGATAAATGAATGTAGCCCAGTGGTAGATAGCCCCTGGGTTCAATCCCCAGCATCCTTGCCAAATCGTTTTCCAATATTTACATATTCATATAATATCTTATATAAAAATTTTATGTATATGTAGTCACGCACTCAGATGATTCCCTCTACTGGTAAAGTAGAAGGAAATTTTACAGTTACTAGGTCATTATCACAATCTCTGTTTTTTTCTGAATAGTTAGCTGAATAATCACTAACTTTTAAAAAATGAAAATCTGTACTAAACATTTTAGGTTTTTATTATAAATAATATTTAAACATTCTCTATCCATTTTTTTTCTTTTTTTTTGGTACGGGGATCGAACTCGGGACCTTTCATTTGTGAGGCAGGTGCTAGAACCACTGAGCCTAAATCCCTGGCCCTCTCTATCCATTTTTGTGCACTCATTCATTATTGAATGAATTCTTACTGGATTTGTTGTATTGAACATTGAAGATTTTAGAATGATTGTTTTCCTTTATATAATGAAAATGGCTAAAATTAATATTATCAAGTTGTTAACTGGATTAGTGACACAGTAACAAATCTGGGAGCAAGCATAGTGCTTATAACTAAAAATACAAATAAGGGTAGGTAAACTACAGTGCACTAGTTGCCTATTTTTGAAAATAAAATTGTATTAGAACCCAGCAATGCCCACTGATTTATGTATTATTTGTGGCTGGTTTTGTGTTGAACAACTGCAGCTGACACCATCTGGCCTGCAGAGCTTAAACCACTTACTGTCTGACCTTTCATATAAAAAATTGCTGACTCCTTAGATAAGGAAAAAGAACCTTATGAGGTACTGAATAAAGCTTGTGCTTTGTCTTATTTTGTGGTACTAGGGATTGAAGCTTATATTTTAAGAAAAACATTTCAGAACTTTCTTTGGTTTTTCATGTCTATTAATATTTGTTTTGTATAGTTGCGGGCATTCGTATTTGGTGCATATATATTTAGGATTGTCATCTCTTCCTCTTGGATTGTTCCCTTCACAAGGATGTAGTAACCATCTTTGTCTCTCTTA